GCATAACACTACATTGTGCAAGACGTTCGCAAATTTTAAGTGAACTCGAAGACTGGTTTTCTGACAGTGACAAATTGAAAATCATTTTCACATATATTAGTACTGAGCAACATTACCTTTACGACGTTAACGACATATGAATTTAAAATTTTATGACTTCGTTACTTGTTAATTGCAAGTCCGAACGATGCTTGAGCAGCTCTAAGGCTTTTGAACGATCTATGGTTGCAGCATCGAACGGTTCCAATAACGATGATGCCATATCATCAGTAGTTCGCTTCAGTTCCTCATATAAGAGAATAGCTGTACCAGTCGACTGACTCAAGATTTTCAGATACGAAATGACCTCAACGAATTTCTGAAAGATATGCTGGCATTTAGGACTAAAATCTAAAAAATAAACTGAGATTAAAGGCTATAGTTCATCATAAATCTATTTATAGAACAATTTTTGATCATTAAAACGATACATACAGGTTCATCTAGAGCTTCTAAAGCAACATTATCCGAATTCTGGGTGTATAAAGAATTAAGCACTGGTAAGAGACTATTTGTTATGTCATACAGTATCTGTGCAGCTCCTCGTCCACTAAAATAAGTATTCTAAATATAATGTGGTAAGCAAAGGTACTAATAAAAAATTTGCTTATAAGTTTTTTTGAATTACACTGATGGTTGGTTAAAATATCTCGCATATAAAAATCGAACTTCAGTGACAATGCAGTAATCATCGTGAGTAAAGCTTCCGCAACTTTCTCATTAAGCATTTCATATAGTTTAGTAGCTGAGTCAGGAGATATAAGATTATTAACATATCTGAGCAGTCGACGAACTTCTAATAAGAATGGACAAAAAGATGAAGTCAAATCCGAAGGTTTGTCTACTATCCATGAATACCTACAGTAAAATTGACCAATATCAACTTATGTTTATTACTGACTTAAAGTTCAATAAGTAATCAGTGCAATATTAAAAAATCATTTACTTTTCATCATTTTCTAATCTGCAAGAAAGAAAGTAAATAAAAGTACTGAAACTTCAGTTCGCAACTAAACAAATTAATTTGCGTTCACATATCGACAAATATCATTATAGATAGAATTTGTTTCTGTACAGTGCGCGAAATTGTAAGTAAGAGTGAACTGATTATGAAAATTTACCAATGCTCACGTTCATAACGACTAAGTGAAGCATAGATATGTTGATAAAATGCTACTGTCAAGTCTTCCGCTCGCTGCCGCCATAAATGTTTATACATGCTCGCTATGTCCTCAAAAACACCACGAAAATGAGCTTTTTTACCTAATGCCTGAATACGTATAAAGATATCCACTTCATTCCATTCATCCAAAACATGAGCTATGTACCTGCAGCAGTTATCTACAAACATAATTACAAGGTAACATTCATCCTGATATACGAAATCTATTCGTATTTTAACTCATCCCTTCTTTCACTGCTTAAACATACTTCTAAGTTAAAAATACAAGGTCTACAAAAACCTCTTAAAAAATTAATACAAAAAGTGATGGTCTTTATTAACTTAAGGTTCTTTTGAAATGAGAATATTTCATGAATTTTATATTGAATAAGTAGTACTTTTTTATTCTCAGATTTACGGTTATTGAAAATCGGCTGAAGTTTGAATTATATTTTTTGTTAACTTACCAAGCAGAATTAAGGATGTGAATGAAGGGTTTTTGCCATGGTGAAGCAACCTGCTGCGAGATATGTACTAGACGTAATCGAAAATCATCCAGCATAAATATCTAGAATTGCAATTTTCTGAATTTCAACAAAAAATAAATAAATGAAAATGTGTACTACCTGATTTCTTCTCACAATCACCAAAAATTCAATGAAAAATTCGTCCATAATTCAACAAATGTCAAGTAACTTTTACTTGTATGTTAAGAAACTGAGACTGCAATTCTAAATTCTCAATCCACCGATAGCGTTCTGTAACTGATTCTATCATTAGTAGAAACTGATCGGTACATTCCGGCACTCGCTGCTGTAACAGTTTTATATTTGCAGCATTCTGTTTCTCAGTTTCTAGAACTACCGAAATATGGGTGCGTTATAATATGATTAAGAAACATTCATCAAGCTAATCTTCTTCACAAAGCACAATCTTCTTCACAAAGCACCATACCATGTCGACATCTGAAAAATTGTGGTACCGATTGTTCCAGCAATCTTCTTCACAAAGCACATGCTCAACACCTGCAATGCAGCTCTCACGCTCCAACTGCAGCCATTTTAGTAAATATATATCTTCACATAAAACACCGAGCACAATCCCTGAACGAACAGGAATTGCGATATCTAAAAATATCACCTAATTATGCATCGATGGACATAAAATTTCACAAAAAAAGATATTCGAAAAGTAAATCTTTTCAAGCCCGATTTATAAAACTTTTACGAATTAGAACGGAACAAGAACTATATATAATCGAAATTTGCACTATTGTTATTAAATGTTAAGTACTGATTAATTACAAATTGTTTATTAAAAAATATTAAACCTTGCAATTCATTTTCAAAAGCGACACATTCGTCAATAAGATGGGAGAACAATTCAGGATCATCTGCTACCATTTGTCTCATAATTCGAACTTTTTCTTGTGCCAAATTTACCAAACTATTCACAAACTGATTCAACATTTCTGTTCGTTCAGCCTTAAGATTTACTTACGATAAGAAATCACATTGATAAGCCTAGTAAGTCAGTATGAATGAACATCACTTATAAAAACTGTAACAACAATGAAAACAATGTTAAATGGATCTTTTCTCTTACCTTAACCCTCATAATAATGAGAAAGGGCTTAAAATGAACTTTGACAACGTGTTAATGCTTGAAAACAACCTACGAGAAACAGAATTAAACCTTGTCTTCGAAAATTTTCAGCAAAATAGAGCTAATTAAGTCTAAATTTGCAGAAATCCACGTCAGTATTTGGGTAAAAAACCATTCTGGTTTTGACAAATCATTTGTCTTCTGCTCAGTGAAAAAATGATAGCGAAACCGCTTCTCCATCGGAGCAGTCAGTGCTATCAAAATCTTCAGTCTGCAATGAAATATTTATTACAGACTCAACGCGACCTACAACAGTTTTCCTATTTCATATAAGTCTCTTCTCATTATACAATCTCATTAAGATTCAAGATCTTGCTTTTCTCGATAAAGAGAAAATTAAAATCTAGTATTATTAAAATTGATACCTATCACACACGCAATTGATAAAGCCATTATCCAGAATACTTAAACACTTCAACAAAACAGCAATATGATGAATTGTTTTTTCATGTATTTTTAGATCAATACTTGCCTCCAGTGGGTAACGAATTTTCTTCAGTAAATCTTTGAAGGCATTAGAAAGAAGCGTTTCTATTTCGATCAATAACTGTTTGGTCATTTTCTCAATATTTTTAGTCCCTTTTTCATCCTGTCAGACGTCTAATAAGTTAGCGAACAAAAAGTATAAATAAGTAAATGACGCTTAAGTTACTATAAAAGTTTTAAATATATCCAGCAGAATATTTTACAAAGAACACGCACTTTTTTGTGCTTTAATGAATATACACATACCAGTTGGGAATCTATATCAACATTTCTTCTCAACAAACGAACGCTTTCATATAAAATAGAAAAGTTTGAAGATTGCAATGCTTTTGTAATATTTGAACTAGCAATGGTAAGATTCTGAGCAACTCTAAGAAAATTTAATTCCTTAATTTGCTCTAGGACACTTTCTAAACGACTGTGAATATCTGGCGCATCCTAAAAAGTAGCTCAATTATCATTTATATAGGTCAAACAAGTTTCACATCGAATATTAGAAAACTTCAAGTTTTGAATATAGTACAATAGTACATTGCTTTTCAACTTTCAAAGATGAGATTTTGAGAGTTCACAGCAATCATGAGTTGATGGAGCGAAAATTGATTTAGTGCAATAGCACTTTTGAAATAAAGAAATCTTTATGATGGTACCAAGCAAAAATCAGCTTCTAATGTCTGTAACACAGTTACTGGTGTCTACAAGTACGAACACCGGCAGAATACGATAAAAATCTAAATTTGACGCTTATTACACGATACATAACATGTTGTATTGATTTCAATCACTAAATGATAAACAGAGATAAAATAACCTGCTTCAAAGACCTCCAAAAAAGCAAATATTTATCATCAAAACTTTTTGAAGCGGACAGAACCGTCTGTTTCAAGTGTGCCAATTTTTGACGAAAAGATTTCAAACGCAGAAGTTGGACTGGTAAATCGTGTCGCATATTGTACAATCCTTCCTATAATCATATTCTTCAAATTTATGTTTATACTACTGAGATCTTCAAAACCGTTTCACATTTGAAGACTTCAAGAAAATACTGCGAAAAAATAGGTAAGCATCTGAACAACTAAAAACGCTACATTTAATTTGTTTTAATCGAATTTAGACAGAAATAACTAATGAAAAATTTCAAAGATAATAATGATAAATTTGATAATAGCTGCTAATTTATTTATTAAAAAAAGTTTTACTCATGAAAAAAAGTAGATAGCAGATGAAGCGAGCAGAATTCTAGTTTTATTAATAATGTACTTGCTTATGGTGAATATTTAAAAACAGTAATATTTGAGATTAAAATAAGGAGTAATAAGCGATTATCTGCTGCAAGAGAAAAAAAATTGATGCACTTTTTTGACTTTTAATATTTCAGGCATACAGTATGAATTAAAGCTTGCACATTCTTTCTATCATAATTAAAAATATTTTCAATGACAATCTGCATAATTATAATGGAAAAAAATTTACAAGTCATTATTTATACTGCATGACTGAAAATAAAAATGTCATTTTTAGATTATTGAAGTTAAATCAAAACCTCAAAAAACTTGCTTCAATTTTGGACTGTTCAGACTCAATTTCATTTAGAACTGTTCGAAATCCACGAAAATATTCACCAACATCATTAGTAGGTAGTTCTGCAAGCTTTTCCGCCACATCGAGCATCTACAAAGTGAAAATAAATCAAACATAACAATGCACTGATATACAAAACTACGATAAAATACGTAAGTAACTGAATACTGATGTTAACACACAAGACAAATAAAATCTTAATGAAGTACTCGTCTCAAATTCAAATAAGAAAATGAGTCAATATATCATGTTAGGTGAAATTCAAAAATCGAGGTTGATAAATATTTTTGATAGCAAACATTTAAATGCATCAAAATCATTAAAAACTGGTGAATAGATTTTGGACCGTTACAACTCAGATTAGGTAAATCTCGTCTCTACAACCTAAAAATCAGCTTAAAATACACATCAGTCATTAAAGAATGATACAGTCACGTAAAACTCTTTACTTCATCACTGAAAGTCGTATTCTGCTTATCCATTTCGCCACATGCACGTTCTTAGCGTCCTCAAAATTTCCTAATAATTCGAATCTGAAATAAACATGAACAGGATAAAGTTCTAAAGATATCTATGCATTGAGTTGTTCACTGAAATTATGATAAACCCCTTAGATATCACCTGTAATTGAAATGAAATTACAGTACGAAAATGAAATAAAATTACTTCAAAAGAGTAATGATATCAAAAATTTTCACTATGAACCAGTCAGAGTTACCAAAAAAAATAAAAAGAGTTGCACAAGAGTACTCAATTATTAAAGAAGACTACTTACATAATGTGTTCCGTACGGTATGCATGTAACTTTTTTTGTTCACTCAGTTCGATACATTGAGGACTATAATATTAATAAATTTGCATAATACAGCCGAAGCTATCAGCGAGATTATACCAGTAATTTCGAAGGTAATTCCAAAGTAGTAAAAGTTCAGAAACAGTGTTGTATAATTAACATTGCTTAGATGTAACCCATTTTTTAATTCCGTTCCAAATTTTGACTCCTAATCTTGGATTCTTATTTTTAATATTTTCGTATTTAATTTCTGGCTTACTTTAACTTTTACTTGTGATTAGTTACATTATTCCGTTTTGGAGGTCGTAAATGCGACCTGACTAATTCATTATCTGTTACGCACAATACATGAAATGTAACTCGTTCTTATACTATCATGTTTTTTCAAGTTAAGCAAATTATTGTACATAAATTTTGAAATATTTTGAATGCTAAAGTATTATTTGTAAATCTTGTAGAAATGATCTCTACTGTTTAATTATAATATTATTTATAATAAAGTGAAATCAGAAATACAAGGAAATAGTAAATTGTTTGCAAATTTCATTAGGAAAGAGCAGTAAAAATGAAAATGGTATGCCATTAAAGTTAATTTCAAATGATTTAATATAGGACTTTTCGGATAACTTGAAATAATAAGGTACTTTGCAAATATGGGAATCGACACTGGTAATTAATCCGTTTATTGGAAGCTTGTTGTAGAAGAAAATTGATCAAATTGATGGTATTAAACTGAAGACTCAAGTTCCGGGGGGACGGTGCATTATTTATCATTTCTCTATATCATGTTTCGGCGAGCTTGTCATATGGTGTTTTATACCGCCAGAGAGCCAGTATCTCTTTCTAGGTATAACTGATTATTACGTAGAGATTTCATTTCTAGTATTGGTATTTCAAAAGACTGGAAAATGTTATTGCTTGTTTTCTCCAGATTATCCAGAAATTTCTACTCGAATGTTTCTTTTTTTTAAATCATTTATTTGATTTTTCTCTCATTCTGACGAGCTTATGATTTTAGGTTGAAAGGTAGTCATGTAAAATTTAGAGCTTATGAAGTCGAAGTACGATATCTTCAAACGTCATCTGTAAGTTTATTATACGACAAAAGTAAGGTAGAAGAAACTTTGAAAAGACTAAAGGAACAAGCAGCAATGGAAGAAAAAGAAGGTCAGGCACGTAAGCAGGTTCGTAATTGAGAAAAGATCACATTTTTTTTAATATTGCATGTTGAAGGAATTTCCTATCAAATTTTGATTGTTTTTTTGTATCTAAGTTGATTTCACGATTAAAAGTTTTTGGAATATTAACATAGAAAAATGAGAAAGTAAATTGTCTTGTTTATTTTTTAACATATAAAGCATTCCAGATGATGGAGAAAGCCAAACAACAAGTAGCTCTGGTACCTGTATATATACGATGGCCAAAAGCTTTTACATCTGCATGCAAGCATTATTATCATGGATTCAAACTGTTATTTTTTGAAATGCGATTAAGTATTAAATATTTATGGCAGTTTATACAAAGGAAACCATTATTACGTCGAGAAAAGCAGCAGTTAGTGCGAACACTCTCTGACGTCTTGCGACTTATTCCATTTGCTGTATTTGTCATCGTGCCTTTCTTGGAATTTGCACTTCCCCTTTTCCTGAAATTATTCCCCAATATGCTACCAAGTACCTTCAAGGACGAAACCAAAGAAGTAATTTTTTTTTAAATAATTGTTTTTGCTGCAATTCATTTTCATTTACTTGAAGTTGCCATCTGATTTCGAAAGATATGCATTCACTGCTGTGGTAAGATAACTAATACTCACAAATATATCGTAAAACACGATTTATATTTGGCTCATCCAGCAAAGTTATCTGAGAAACAAATAAAAAATAGTCCATGTCTTATCAAAAGAAAGATGCTTAATTAATTGGTGGCAATTTGTTAATTGATCAGTCTAATATAAATGGAAATATTTTAGGAAGAAAATATACGCAGAAAACTGAAAGCTAAATTGGAAACGGCTAAATTGCTGCAAGCAGCCATGGAAGAAATGGCTTTATATAAGAAAAAAAATTCTGCAAAGGATGATAAAACGGCTAGTACCGCTGTCGAGTTTGCAGAGTTTATTAAAAAGGTTGTGTTTTTACAGATGGGGTGTTCTCTGTATTGGTAACAAAAAGCTAATTAGGTAATATCGCTTTCTATTTCTCAGTTTTTTTGCTGTGTCTTTCAAAAAGCATATGTTATATTTTTATTGGTTCATTAGTTCTTATGGTTTATGTTCTTGTCAAAAATAAATCATTAAATTTCTTTCCTAAAAAATATTCCAGAAATAGGTAGTGGTCTTTGTAAGAATTTCTACGTAATAATTTTTAGGTTCGTACTG